TTTCGCTAAAAAAAAAAATTTATTAATTTTAACGCCACGTGTTGTTGTTTGTGTTGTTGTTTCAAAGTAAAACATTTTTTTTTTATATACACGATTAATATTTTCTCTCTCTCTCTCTCTTTCGGCTACACACACACGCATTCACGCACTTTTTCTCTTCAGTAAGAAAAAATAAAAAAAAAAAAACAAAATTTTTTTTATATTTACTCATTACCACCACCACAGCCATCGCCACTACTACTACTGCCACCACCACCACCACTACTGCCACGTTTTCCTTTAATTTAAAATTTTTTTTTTTTTTATGGTAAAGTGATAGAATTTTATTTTTAATGTTTGTTGAATAAGATAAACATGGTGTGACGTAATACACATATATCACAAATGAGGTTCATAACGTTCAGATCTCCCGCGATGAGTTTTCCTGTTTGTTTAACCCAATTTATCTACGAAATTCATATCAAAACACGCACGCACCCACCTAAACCCACGTACACGCGCGCAAAAAAAAATTTAAATTTTTTTTTCCCCAAAAATTTAAAAAAAGAGTGAATAAAAACGAAAAATAAAAATAAATATAATAAAAAAAAAAAAAATTTATATCCGTCTCGTTCAAATAAAAAAAAAAAAAAAAAAAAATTCCGCCATTTTATTTTTTTCATTAATAACTCAATTACTTTTTTTTTATGTTTTTATTAAATTTATTTACAAAAAAAAAAAAAAAAATTTATATTGAGAAAAAGAGAAAATATGAAAAAAAAACAAATTTTATTTTTAAACTAGTTAAAGAGAGAGAGTTAGAGAGAGAGAGAGAGAGAGAGAGAGAGAGAGAGAGAGAGAGAAAGAGAGAGAAAGAAAATGAATCTTTACATATAAATATTTATAAAATACTTAATAAATGAATTGAATAAAAAATTTAAATTTCGTTTTCGATATACGCGCATGTAATTTATACGAGTGTTTTTATTATTATTATTATTATCTTCTTAAATATTTGCTTAACGAATAATCGTATTGTATGTTAACAAAATAATAATAATAATAATAATTTTTCGAAACCTGGGTTGTATATAATTTTCATAAAATTTTTTAATTTTTGTTTTTCCTAATTATTATTATTATTATTATTATTATTATTTTATTTTTAAACATAAAAAAATTTTCTAAGATTTTGTATTTTTGCACGTTTCATATTTCAAATGAACTTTTGACGTTTGTAAAATTATTAGCGACAAGGCAATTTATCGCGTAAAAAAAAAAAAAGAAATTTTCCGTCGGCGAAGGAGATTTTTTACGAGTTTTCGTTTGTTGTGTTGTTTGTATTCGATCGTTATTTTCATGCGACAAATTTATTTATTATTATTATTTTATTACGAGTCGTTTTAAAAACAATAAAAGTATTTTCTTTTTTTTTTTTTTGGAAAATTATTTATTATTATTATTATTATTATTACGTCAAACTTTTTGTTTTGAAATCCGTTTTGAAAAATATTAAAACATGGTGGCGCACGTAATATATTCCTTATTGTGACTTTTATAACCGCTTATAATTTTTTTTTTATTTAAACATGTCTGTCCCCCCCCTCTCTCTCTCTCTCTCTTCTACTTAAAAAAAAAAAGTTTTAAAAGTAATAATTTTTTTTTTTTGGGGGGAAAAAAAGAAAAAAAAGAAAAAATTAGCGGTAACTTTTCTTTTTATTTCTATCAATTTTTTGAAGGCCAACATTAAAAGCAAATGAATTAAAACTCTGATTACTTTCAGAAACTTGAAAAGAGCTATTAATCTTACTTTACTTGGGTTGTTTTAAAACTTTCTAATAAAATACCTGAAATACGAAAAAAAGGAAAAAATGGAGAAGAAAAAAGGAAAAAAAAATTTTCCTTTTTTTAAAAAAAAAATTAATTTTTTTTATTGTTTTCCACATTATTCGATTTAAAATAAAAATAAAAATCGTCATCGAATTTTATCGATAAATCATCATCATCATCATCATCATCATCATTATTATTATTATTATTATTATTATTATTATTATTATTAAACAAATTTTTTTTAAATCGCTAATAAATTTATTTATACTTATATGTAATAATTTTATTTAAATGTAAAAATAAAAGGAATGAATATAAAAGGAGGTGGAGGGAAAAAAAAGCAGGGAAAAAATTTCCCTCTTACATAAATTAAAAACGAACTTAAATAAAAATTTGTTTTTAGCAACTTCATCAAATATAATTTAAAAAAAGGTAAAAAAAAAAAAATTTAATTGCTTGTTTTCTTTTTTTTTTTTTTTTTAAATTTTATTTTTCGGTTTGTTTGTTTGTTTGGGGGTTTGTGGGGGAGCGTACACGTACACCCGAAAAAAGTTATAAAATTTTATTTCTCTCTATTTCCTCTCTCTCTTTCTCTCTTTCTTTTCATTCGCACACTTTTATGTAATTTTATTTATTTTTACTTTTTTATTATTTACACTTTTCTTTAACTATAAAAGAAAATTATTTGAATTTATTTATTTATTTTTTAATCGAACGGATCGATAATTTTCATGTTTACATATTTATATACATTCAACGTACCCTCAATATCACATCAATATTATTATTATTATTATTACTAGGTTTTTTTTTTAATTTGGCGACATTTTTCTCTCCAATTAAAGAAAAAAATTTAATTTCGAATCTTATTTCTCTTTCTCTTCTCATCCTTCTTTTCACATTATAAAATTTTTTAAAATATCAACAACAACAATATTTTTCTTCTGCTAAAATAAAAACAATAATAATAATAATAATAATAATAATAATAATAATAATAATAATAATAATAATAATAATAATAAATATTTTGTGATAAAATAATAATAATAATAATTAAACACGAATTTAAATCCTTGTAATAATAATAATAATTGTTTTTCGGTTTCGAAAGGATTTAAAATTTATTAAAAAAAAAAAAATAAAATGGCCGAGTTTAAAAAAAAAAAATTAATTACACCCGAAATATATTTTATATATTATATAATATTATTATTAAAAATGATACGCGCGTACCTTTTCCCTTTACACGCCAACCAAATACGCATACGTAATTTATAATAATAATAATAATAATAATAATAATAATAATAATAATAATAATAATAATAAACGCTTTTTGAAACGCTAAATCGGCAATTAAAATTCTAACAAGGCAATAAATTTAAAATATTGAAAAGTTATATCTCTCTCTCTCCCCCCCCATATCCCACTCTCTCTCTCACACTTTCTCTACGTATCGCTTTTATAGGATAAAATTTTTTTTTTTATATAATAAAATATCTTTCGTCATTTTTAATGGGGGGGGTTTATTTTTTTTTTTTATAGTAACGTACCTCTATAAATATTTTACTACTATATTATAACCAACTTTTTATACAAAATCGTTAAATTATTAATCCGTTAAAAAAAAAAAAAGATTTTAAATTTTGAATATTTTTTTTGTTTACCCGCGTAAAAAAATTTTAATTTTTTATAAATATGATAACAAATAAAAATTGTTTTAAAACATTTTAAACTACGTACAAAACAATTACAAACGACAACAAACGAGTGATAATGATAACAAAATAAAAATTTTTTTATTTTTATTATTTTTCCGTTAGAAAACCCGTTAATTTTCTTTTTCTTCCTCCTCCTCCCTCCTCAACCCCCTCCCAGGACAAAAAAAACTTCATTTTATACGTTGATTCATCTCGACAAAGACAAACAGCAACAACAACAACAACAAACAAATATTTTCCAATTCGTAAATAATTTAAAGCGTAATTTTTTAAAGAGAGTTAAAATTTTGTTTATATTATGTTACGTAATTTTATCCGCGAGTTATTTTCTTTTATATTATTATTATTATTATTATTATTATTATTATTATTATTATTATTATTATTATTATTATTATTATTATTATTATTATTATTATTATTATTATTAATTTACACGTACGTTCTCGTACTTATTTTAAATATATATACATGCGTGGGAGAGAGAGAGAGAATGTTGTATATACAAAGCGGAAATTGAACTTTATAATATATATATATATACATACACGGCATCGTATAAATTTTGATTTTTTTATTAAAATAAAATGGCGGAGTAAAAGGGTTACTACCGACCGGGTAATAAACATTTAAATTTATTTTTTTTAACAACAATAATAATAATAATATAATGGGGGATCCCCATTTTTACCGTCCGTTTTTGGACTAACTTATATATATATATATATATTAAAATTTCGGGTCGTCGAGAAGTAAGTAAATAATACGAGAGAGAGAGATAGAGAGAGAGAATTTTTTAAGAGAAAAAAAAAAATTTTTTTTTTTTAATAACGTAAATCGGAAAATTTTTTAATAAAAAGAATTTAAAAAATTTTATTTATTTTATTTTTAGTTTCGTGTATTTATAAAAAAAAAAAAAAGAAAATTACTCGTCTTATCAAAATGATGATAACGTTTTTCTTTTTTCAAGTGGAAAAAGAAAAGCGCGCGCGATCTATCATTATCATTTTCCGCTTGGCTGACAGTTTTTTTTTTTTTTTTTTATAAAAGATTTATTTTTTTTTATGTTTTTGTGCGACTAGAATGATAATGATGATAATGAAAATTTGTAGAGACAGAGAGGGGGAAGGGAGGGGAGGAGGTGAGAAGAAAAATTTCCTTTTAGATAATAATAATAATTATTTTTTAAATTATTTATAATAAACATAAACAAAACGAACGAAAGTTTGTTACTCTTTGTAACGTATACCGCCATTATTAATTAACCAGTATTGCCAAATTTATAAAAATAAAATATTTGTTTGTAAACAAAAAAAAATTACTATTTGTTTACTTTTTTTTATTATTATTTTAACGTGTATTCTCGACGATTTTTGGCAACAAAATAATAATAATATTTTCGTTTTTATAATAAAAATAAATAATAAAAAAAAAAAAACTGGGAAAAATTATTTTGATACATATGACGAAATGTTAAATTTTTTTTTATATATATATAATGTCTAAAATAATAATGATAATAATTAAAAAAATAATAATAATAACAAATCGATTCGTAAAGTATTCGTAATAACAATAATAATAAAAAAAAATGAAAAAAAATCATCATTGATATTGAGAGAAAGAGATTGTGAGAGTGTGAAAGGAATAAAATACAAGGTGAGAAAGAGAGAAGGAGAGAGGGAGAGAGAGAAGTAGGGAAAGTGATTTTTTTTCTTTTTACAACGAGAGGGAAGAAGAAAGTAAAAGAAAAGTAAAAGAAATTTAAATGTGTGTCAAGACGGAGATATCACGTGAAATGGGTTTATGGGATTTAATTAAACGCAAATCAGATTCTTTACATGAAATGACAGAAAATTTTGATGAAAATATTTCAGTTCACGTGGTCGACAGTGAAATTAAATATAAAACAAATGGCGAACAAATTCCTTTTTGTAGAATATGTCAAAGTTCTTCATCTCCATTAAATCAACTTATATCTCCGTGTAATTGTAAAGGTTCGTATAGAAAACAAAAAAAATGACCGATATGTGACGTTGGGGGGGGGGTAGGGAATAAGGGAAAAAGCCAATCGAATATATAAAACGCACATGGGACTCAATTTTATGTGACATTGAGTTCATTGACCCTTTTACACCCCTCTCTAAATCACAAAATTTTTCCTTTAACAATTAAATTTTTTTGTTTCAGGCACGCTTGCTTACGTACATTTTAAATGTCTCGAAAGATGGTTGAATTGTTCGTCGAGAATATCCTGCGAACTTTGTCATTTTCAATACGATACTCTAAAAACGAGACGTTACACTCTTTATCAATCCCTTAGACTATGGATAAGACATCCAGTCAATTGGAGACACTTACAAACGGATTTATTTAAAATCACTTTGTTTAGTTTTTTAACAATTACATTGATACTCACGAGCGTTTTCTTTTTGGAATATTTTATCGAAATGGGACTTAAGTGAGTTTGTTGAAAAACGCGCGCCTACAATCGTGAATTAAATAATTTATTTTTTTCTGTCGTACAGGTACGGTTTGTCTGCGTCGTATACGAAAGGTATATTCAACGTTTTATTAGGTGGGGTCACGTCTGCTTACACGTGTTCAACTTGTTTTTTAATTAACGTTAATTTGAAACCTTGGTATTATTGGTGGAAAAATACTCACAACATACATTTAAGAATAAAAACGAATTTTGATAATATCGAAGATAGGAAAAAATTATTCGATGAATTGTCGTCGATGAACCGAAACGATTCCGTTGATAACATATCGACGGAAGAAAATAATTTGCAAGAAGGCGGTGAGAGTTTTTTTTTCCCCCACTCCGTTTTCTACATTAAACCCTTTTCGCGCGTAATTGATTTTCGAATCATTTTTCCTCTATGACATGTATGTGAATGCGCGTGTGGATGCGTTAAACGTGTTTGCGTGCATGCGATAAAACATTCACCTTGTAACATTTCATCTGTAAAATTTAGTCTCGCGATTGTTAGAAAAAAAAAAAATGTTACGCCATAGAAATTAAAGGAGGAAAAAATGGCGGCGTCGACGTCGACGACGATAATAATAATAATAATATTTACGTTAAAAAAGTTTTTTAATTCGAATTTTTTTTTCTCTTTTAAATGAAGTGTCACGTAAACCTTTGTCTCGTATTATTATTATTATTAAAAAAATTTTTTTTTTTTTTCTTCTCAAATGATATTTTTCCTTAAGGCGATTAAATTATTTTTATGCAGGCAAATTAAATAAAAAAAAAAAAAAGAAAAACGGGAAAGACGGCAAAAACGGCAAAAAGGGTTTTTTAAAAAAGTAAAAAATAAAAAAAAAAATAATTGAAAATTTGCTTGAGTTATGAAAAAATTTTAAATTAAAATTTATTTAATGGTAGCAAAAAGTTTTCTTTTTCTCTCTATCTTTCTCTCTCCCCCCCTCTTTCTCTCTCTCTCTATTTCACGACCTCTCTCTCTCTCTTTTTTTTTTTTTAATATATTTTAATATACGTATCTAAATCAAAGTAGAAAAAAAATTTTTTTTTTTTACATACGTCCGCCATTTTTTAAATGGCATTAAAGTCCTTCGGTATTAAATATTAAAATTTATATAAAGAAAAAAAAGTTTTAAAACTATCATTTTTGACATTTTACTCATCATTCATCCGGTTTTCTTCTTCATTTTTTTTTTTAACTTCTGGACCAAATGATTCCAGCATCCGTTTAATAAAGTTAAAATAACTTTTAACAAAAGAATTTTTTTTTTTTTAAAAACAAAAAGTTTTGTTATCGTTATTTTTAAAAAAATAATAATAATAATATTTTTTTATTTAATATTTTTAATTCGAAAACTTTTTTTTTTTGAATCCCCCTTCCCCCCATTTTTTTCGGAAAGAAAAAAAAGAGAGAAAACAACGACCTCAAATTAATTTTTTATATCGGTTTCGTTTCCGCGACATTTTTTTACGTCACAATTTTTTTTTTTTTTTTTTCAGACGTTACAACGGACGTGGAAGCAGAAAACGTTGTTGAGCGACAAGATATACAATCTATCACACCCCAATAACGTAATAAACAGAATAAACGATAATAATAATTATTATCATTATTATCGCCGTACGTTATAAAAAAAATAATGGATCGTTACTGTATAAAGTATATTATTAAAAATAATAATAATAATAATTTCGTTTTGAAAATTTATTAATAAAAAAATCGTCATTTTTTTTACGTGTTAGTAGAATAATTCTAATCCGAGAAAGAATTAAAATAATAATAATGATAATAATGTAAATAATTAAAATTATGTTTAATTAAAAAAAATTTTTTTTTTTTTTAATATTAAAATGATCTTAAATTAAATTTTTTTTTTCCCTGACATTATCAGGAATTTACAAACATTTGCAATAATGATAATAATAATAAAAATAATAATAATAATAATAATAATAATAATAATAATAATAATAATAATAATAATAAAATTGCAAAAATGCAACAGTTGAAATTTTTTTTTACGGTTGTTACGTGAAAAATAATTTTCGACGACGTCTCGACGTGGTAAAAAAAAAAAAAAAGCAGACGAAAATTGACTTCGATAAAGATAATTAAAAAAAAAAAAAATTGATAAGAATCGTATTATACGCACTGGATTGGATAAAGATGAAAATCACATGACATCAATCGACTGGAAAGAATGGTAAATGAATATCGTAGTAAATCTAACGTTACAGTTGCGACAAACACAAACATGCATAAACAAACGGATAGAATCGGTTGAGGTAACGAATATGACGTCATAATAAAATTAGAAAATGATTTAAAATGTGTTTGTAACAGAAGACAAAAACACGATAATCGAAGTAGAAGTAAAAATGAAAAAAATAAAATTGGTCATTATGTGAGAAGTAACCGGAAACCGGAAATGATTTTAAAGTTAAAAAGAATTTTGGGAAAATCGTGGCATAACCGGTAATTCGATAAAGATTTTTAAAAAAAAAAGTTTTCAAACAGGAAATCGTTCAGGTTCAAATGTTATTTCCAAAAATTTGCGTTCCAAAAAAATTTTTAAATCTAAAAAAGAAAATCTGTCGCCATTAAAACAATAATAATAATAATAATAATAATAATAATAATAATAATAATAATAAATTAAAAAATAAAAATAAAAAATTTTGTACGTAAACCAATGTAAAAATTTTTTTTTTTTTTTATCGTTTAATTTTTCCTTTAAAAATAGTAGGAAAAAACAGCTACAACAACAGTGATACCAACTTAAAAATTTATTATATAATTATAATCCGTTTGGAAAACGAGAGAGAGATAGAGAGAGAGTGAGAGAGAGAGGGAAATTTTATTTTAAAAAATTAACTCCTCTCACAAAACCACGTTTTCTCTCTCCATAAAACATTTTTTATTAATCCATTTCATTCCAGCCATTTAACTTTATCCTTTTTTTTTTTTACGAGATTTTTTTTTTTTTTTTGGTTAGTTCAGACGCATCTCACCCGTACATACACACACCCGTAGATAGGCACGCACACGCACACAGACACGCACACACACACAAGCACCCGCAGACACACAATAGGGAATGATGATATGAACAACGAAACCGAATTAAATGTAACCTTTTTTTTTTTTTTTTTTAAAAGGTTAAAAAATTTACGACTTTTGGAAAAAGTTAAAGGTTAATATACTACTCGGTTCGTACAAAAAAAAAAAATATTTATAAAAATTGATGTTATTTGATTTATTCTTTTTTCCCATTTTTCAATTTTTGATTTTATAAAACGCAAATTCTCGAAACTAATATAAATATATGTATTTAGCTTTTTCTCTAACCACTTTTTACATTCTCTCACCTCTCTCTCTCTCTTCTTGTCTCTTTTAAATTATTATTCCTTTGACAATTGTAAAAAAAAAAAAAAAAAAAAAAAAGTATGACTCTTTTAAATTGAAGTTATGTTATTCGTTACAGTTGGAATTTTTTTTTTTTTTTTTTTTCATAAAATCTATCAAAGGATTTTTATTTTTTCCATTTAACGAATAATTAATGTGAAAAATAAAAAAACGTGGCATGAGAATTTAAGATTTAATGTTATTATTTTTACGTAAAAAAAAAAAAAAAAATGTTGCATAAATTAAAAGAATAATAATAATTTATACAATTTACTCTCGTACTTTATTTTTTTTCTGTTGTTCTGACGGGGGAAGGGGGTGGAGGCGGTTCGTGTATGGTTATTTTATACGTTTAAATGATGTTTAGTTGCAGATGTCAATCTCCTCCCACGTTTTGTTTACCACGAACGTGACAATAAATAAAACAAATAAGTGAATTTGTCATTTATTACGTTTGTGAACATTTTAATTATATTATTACCTTCACGTCTCTTTTTACGAAGCGGAAAAAAAAAAAAAAAATTTATTAACGTTTTCAAAAATTATTTATTTAAATAGTAGTATTATTAATTAATAAAATTTTATTGTTTTTTTCTGTCTGCTGCGTGTGTACGCGTGCGCGTGTTTATTAATTTTTTTTTCTCGTTTAAAAAATTTTAAAAATTAAAAAAATTAAAAAATTTCAACTAATTTTTAAACATTTAAATTCAGGAGGAAAAACATTCGTGATTTTTTTTTAAACTCATCTGTTTCCCCCCCCCCCTTTTTTTTCCCCTCTCTCTCTCTCTGTCTTCTGACACGATGGGTTTTTCTTTTTTTTTTTTTAATACTAATTGTGTCTTTTTCCGGTAGAAACATTTAAAAAAAAAAACAAACAAATTTAATTTTTTTTCCCCCTTTTTTTTTTTTATATTTATAACGTGATGAAAATAATTTACGTTTCGTTCAATCATTTACTCACTAAGTCACTTAGTCAGTCAGTCAATCAATCAATCACATACGTACCAACATCGGAATTTTATTTTTATTTTAGTAAATCACAAAAAAAAAAATGACAGCGCCATTAAATCAAACAATTATTACGTCAAACATAATTATACGCACATATAAATTTCCTGTATTTTCGTGTGCGTTTTCCTGAAACATTGTTAAACAAACACAACATAATTATGTTTTTGTTTGTCCGAAAATTTAATTCGTTAAACATTACGTAACTTCCGGTAAAAAATATTATTACTAAACCAACGTGATGTGATATTAAAATTTTACAAACCAAAAATAAAATATATACGTAGTGTTTACAGTTTAATCTTTATCGTTAGATTATCGTTAGAATATTTGTTATCAATGTCAGATTGTTCTATGTTACTCTACGAAACCTCAATTTATATACAAACAAAATATTCATTGATTTACCCTCAACAACTACATTTATTTGCATAATTTTATTGATATATATCTCTCTCTTAACAGATAATCCAACACACATACATATACACATTTAAAATAAATAGATAAAATGACCTAAAAACAATAACAAACACACAATTTTGATGACGTTTAAATATTTCACCTAATAATAATTATTATTATTATCATTATAACATTTATTTATTTCTCACGTTTATATTTAAAAAGAGAAAAGAAAAAAAAACTTTTTTTTTTCAAACTTTTTTATCCGGATTACATGAAATTAAAGATGATCGAAATATCCCTAAGGATTTTTTCTCCCCTTTTCTTGAAGAATTTTCTTTTACGTGTCACATTCATTCTCATTAATCAAATGAAATATGACCTTTTAATTTTTTTTCTTTTCTCCTTTTTTTTTTTGAAATAATATTTCCGTAAATGTATATATTTTTGGTTAAAATAAAAAAAAAAAAACCTAGAAATACCGGAAACGTGCGGAAAAATCCAGTTTTGGAAGTCGATTGAACAACCATGCAAAAATGGCGTATAAAAACGGTTAAAATTGAACCTTTCCACCAAATGAAAATATCGAAAATTTATATATATAAAGAAATTAAATTAAAAAAACCGTAAAAACGAACGTGAATAAAGCCGACGAATGAAAAAGGTCGTCGGCCATGATGATATTTTTTTTTATTATAACCAATTATATATAAAAAAAAAGAAAAAAAATGAAAATCCGGCTCATCTAATCTCTATTAGTCGGAATTGAAAATTGGTTCAGCATTAAGATTGTATTAAAAAAAAAAAATCGAATTGAATTTACATTTTTCCCGTTTTTTCCCGTTTTTTCATTCTCCCTTTTTTCTCCTTTTTTATTTCTTTTTTATATCACGTTCTGGAGGGGGGGAAAAAAATTCTATAGTAAAACCGTTAAAAAAAAATACATATATATATTTTCTCAGAAATAATTTCAATATAATTATACAATGTAATATATAAAAAGATTATGTTCCGTTCATAAAAAAAAAACTCGAATTATATTCCTGTGACATCATCATTTTACGAGTTTTTCCCGTATTTCAATTATTAAATCCCTTTTAAAATATTCATACGAATTAAAAACAAAAAAAGAAAAAAAAATCGAAAATTTTTTTTATTACTTGACAATTAAAAAAAAAAAAAAAAAAATGGCAGAAATACCGGAACGTTTTTCCAAAATACAAAAAAAGAAGGATAATCGTAAACAATGGAATTTACGATTCATAAAAAAAAAAAAAAAAAAAAAAAATTGATAGGATGGAGAAGATTAGTCGAGGAACGTTTCCGTTTCCTTTTTTTTTCAACCTTATTAGTATTCGAAACCTGATGCAATAAAATGTTTATTCTCTTTCCATCACGTCTACCAATAAATTTAATAATAAAATCTGGCATGTGCTCCTCAAGTCATGAACTCTTTCATTCTTTTCTCAACATCTTTTATTAAAGCATCCGAAAAAAGTCACTTTGTTTTTAATTTTTTTTTTTTTACCTCCCTTTCCCTATATTTTTTAAGCCCCACCCACTCTCGCAACCATATCTTTAAAATCTCCAACAATACCGTTTAAAAATTAACTAAGCTCCTCCCCCTTTTTCTTATGTACCTGTTAACGCCCAACCTCATCCACTTCCTAACTTTTCTAGCTTTTAAACTCCCACCTTTATCTTTTCATGCCTATCCACGCTTCTCCCCTTTTCTTACGTACCTTTCTTACC